GTTATGTTGTACGCTAAATTGAATCAGATTGAACCCAAGTCGATTGAATAAGATTAAAACCAATTCAATTGAATCAATAGCTTCAAAATTATAAAGTTTTCTTATGTAAGTATAAAGTATACCTTGCACTGTAACTTACTCTTAATAAACCAGTTCTTAATGTCCAATTTTCATCTTTCGGATTTTTTTTTCAGATTAAGTCTTATTTTTACTAGATTTCGTATAAAACTGTTCAATTATTATGTAACCAATACTTTAGAAAAATTATTATATTATTCACGTGATTCTAATATACTTTATTTTTTCAGCAACTCAGATCAGCCCTAGGATATGACACAGCTAATCTGCGCAGTGGGGAAGTTCCATCTGCATTTAATGAATACCTAAACCAAGTTCTTAAAGAGAACCAGCAAAAAGAGCCAGACTACGTTTTAAATCTTGCAAACGAATTGCTAGTATCCAGTGATTATGACGTGAGTTCTAATTATAAGAAAGATGTTAAAGAACAATATCATGCAAACATTAAGGAAGTCAATTTTGAGAAAAATTCTGCTGAAATTGTAAATGATGTAAATAGTTGGGTAAGCAAACAAACTCACGGCAAAATTGATAAACTGTTAAGTGATTTAGACCCTTCAACAGTATTGCTCATACTAAATGCTATTTACTTCAAAGGCAACTGGAAAATTTATTTCGATCAAAAGAGGACGAAACAACAGAAGTTTTACAATAATGGCTTGGATTCTAAAGCAAAGTAAGTTACTTTCGTATGTATGAAATTGTAAAAATATTGTATTTTTTTATTACTTGGAGATTTGCTACTCTTTCTTGTTCCGCTCACCCACCTCCGTAATTGCTTCTCCTTCATCACAAAGTTCAGAGCATTTTATTTTCAAAATAATCAATAATTGCAGCTTTAAAAAAAAACCTTTTTTAATAGGCCGAGGTAACCTGTTAGGTAAGGCGTAATAAATCACGAAAAATTACTTAAATTTGCAATAACTTTCGAATAAATTGGAATTTTGGAATAAAATATGTGTCAAGCTCTCAAAGAAAAATGACTCGGTAAACCCATCAAATTTTAACTCTGTCGTTGCATTTCAGTGGGCTACAGATCGATCAAATATGAGATTTATCTACAAGTTAAACAGTTTATAGTTCTCTTACTAAGTATCGAATATTGAATATTTTTTTATTTCTTATATATATATATATATATATATATATATGTATNGTATACAGAGCAAAATAAATAAAAAAAAAACACGAAGAAAATTAAGAAAAACAATAAGTTTCATTTATTGCGCATAAGCTGCAAGTGAACTCATAAGTTCAAAATGAAGATAAAACAGAGGAAAATTACAGACATATGAAAAAAAAAGGGGGATAATAACAAAAAAAATAACAAACAACTGGAGAGGGGGAAAAAATCCGAAAAAAAAGATAAATTTTTTTTTTAAAAAATCCGGAAAATAAAAGATATAATCTTATCATCAGCCCACACGATTATATCCGCAAAAAGAGTGCTTTCTAATATTGTATCAATATAGCCAAAGCAAAATATATCAATACAATAGTGTGAGGAGCACTCAAAAAATTTTTACACAAATTATAGCAAATAAAATAGAACACAATAAGTAAAAATAACACGTAAAACCAGAAAATAAAATATGAAGAAAAAGCAAAAATGAAACATAATCTATAAAGCGAGTAGCGAATTCAAATGAACTTACATGAACAGGAAATTTTTCAAAAATGATTCAAAATATTTTCGTAACAAGATTGCCAGATTGCAAAATAGTAAAACAAAAGCGCAAATTGAGCGTAACTAGAGGAGTTTTGTTTTAAAGTGCGTTCTTACTGCATTACTGAAGTGCGTTTGATTTGTTAGTTACCAAGGATGGGCCCGAAAATAGATGTGCGCAAGTTAATATTATACTGGATAATTTAAAGAAGTTGACTATAAATAATTTTAGAAAATCAATATTTAGTTAAAAAAATATATAAAATTGAAAGAAAGAAACATGAATTGCCTGTTTTGCACGTAATTTTAGCCCCGGATTTGCCCGAAATGGATTTGCACATGGAAAAATTATATAAATTAACAAATAAAAAAATTTTCATTAAATAATTTTAGCCCCGGATTTGCCTGAAATGAATCTGCACATGGAAAAATTTTATAAATTAATAAGATTAATAAGCTTTATAGATTATGTTTTATGTTTTATTCTGCTTTTTCTTTATATTTTATTTTCTGTGTTTACGTGTTATTTTTACTTATTGTGTTCTATTTTATGTTTTGTAATTTTTGTAGAAATTCTTTGAGTGCTCCTCACTCTATTGTATTAATATATTTTGCTTTGGCTATATTGATACAATATTAGAAAGCGCTCTTTTTGCGGATATAATCGTGTGGGCTGATGAAAAGATTATATCTTTTATTTTCTGGATTTTTTAAAAAATTTTATCCTTTTTTTCGGATTTTTATTTTTTTTATTTTTTCTCTCCAGTTGTTTGTTATTTTTTTTATTATTATTATTTCCCCCTTTTTTCATATGTCTGTAATTTTCCTTTGTTTCATTTTCATTTTGAACTTATCTTATGAGTTCTATTTACTTGCAGCTTTTGCGCAATAAATCATCAAAAAGTCCTCCACGAAGACAAATTTCTCCCAATACTTGATCCAGGAGATTCTGTGTCTTTTGGATTGAGTTCAAAATTGCAAGGCTACGAAGTTAAAAATTGGAAGTTGTAGACTCATAATTGGGTCTACTGTTTAACGACGATGAAAAAATAAAATATCTGAGGAAACATCTTTAAAAATTACTTATGTGACGAAATTCCTCATATATTTTTAGGCGGGGTCACTTTTTGTTACAAAATTTGCATCCTTTAATAGTAATAACAATACATAATTGCGCAATCAAAAAATTCGATTTCCATATCTCATATTTTCAAGATGTAACACTGAAACCAAATCTGTGACTTTCTTTTTTCATAGGGAAGTTCCCTTGATGCACATGACCGCAAAGCTGCCTTATGCCTCAGTTGATGACATAAAAGCCCTGGAATTGCCATACAAAGGAGATAATATCAGCATGATAATTCTTTTACCGGAAGAACATAATGGACTCAAAAGTCTTGAAGACAGTATTACTCAAGAAAAATTCTTACACATACAGAAACAACTGCGTACAAGTAAAGTAATAATTACGTTCCCGAAGTTCAAAGTTGAATACAAACGAGAAATGGTACCAGACTTCAAGGAATTGGGCGCAAAAGACGTCTTGACCCCTGGACAGGCAGACTTGTCGGGTATAGCCCCAACGAATATGCTTTATGTCAATAGAATTATCCATAAAGCAGCTATTGAAGTAAATGAAGAAGGAAGCGAAGCGGCAGCTGCCACAGGTATTGGACTTGTACCTTTTTCATTACCTTTAGCACCGCCTCCACCTCCACCAGAGTTCACAGCGGATCACCCTTTCATGTATGCCATTACAGATAAAAGGAATGGTATGATATTGTTTTTAGGCCGTGTGACTGAATTATGAACAATGCTTTTTTTTTTAAATAAAGAACGTACTTGGTTCAGCATTTCTTATTATTAATAAATAAATAAAAATTATGCTCAAATACATTCAGATTTCATTTATTAATCTATATTTCTACTATGCTTTTTCAGTTTAACTAAACTCAAAAAGAATGAAATAGAATCAAATCAAAACCATTATATTTATGTGAACTGAAAAGTTGAAAATAATTCGATATTTGTCGAACCTGAAACGCAGGACTTTTGGAAAACGTGTGGCGAATGTTTGAGGTTTCGTGCACCTACGATTTTTGCTTTCAGTATGAAAAAAATAGAATGAATTGGGTGGCTCACGTGATTCGAATGAGTGATGACAATACAATAAAAAAGATAATTTTTTTTAGACCCACTGGTACAAGAAAGCGGGGAAGGTCGCGGTTAAGATGGGCTGACTCAGTGGAGTCTGATTTTCTCGCAATTAATGAAAAGAATTGGAGATCAAAGCTAAATCGGAAGTCGTCATGGAGAAATCTTTAGAGGAAGGCATTGGTTCACATTGGGCTGTCTGGCCAACTATGATGATGAAAAAAACAGAATTATTTACTCCTTTTTTAGATCTGCTTCAAAAAATTAGTTTTTTTAGTAACTTTTTTCTTTCGAGTATCTTTTACTTCGTTTAAGCTGGAAATGGCGATGTTTATATTCAGAGCTTGACTAAGGCAGGGACATAAGGGCAGCTGCCCCTGGCCCCCACTTCACAGGGGGGCCCCAAAATCGAGTAGAAAGTTTATTTTGCGTTTCTTTCTTTAATGAACTTTTTTTAAGCAAAATATTAGTACAATGAAAAATCCGTCAGTTTTACTTTAACTTCCTCATTAATCTATCGTATGACCACAAAAAAATCTATATTTCGTAAATCCATGGATTTCTAGGGAGTAATTCAGCTAAATTTTCGCAATTACGATGGATAAATAAAATTTAGTCAATCAAAAGCTTGTATTTTTACGTATCGCAAAATGCGATATGCTTGCAAAAATACGGGCTTTTGATTGACTTAATTGACCCATCGTAATTGCGAAAATTTAACTGAATTCCATCCTAACGTCAGCAAGTATATGAATTTTTCGCAGCTATATGACAATCAGCAAACGGCATTCGGCATGATGAACATGAAATTATCAATCAATAAAATGAACGGAACGATGTTTCGTCTGACCATTTGATAGCTATTTTAGGTTCTAGTCAATTTTCTTGTTATATTATCTATAATGAGGTGACAAATTTAAATACCTCCATAAAGTTCGGTTCTTCATTACTGAAAAAGAGAAGCAGAGGGGGGCCCCCAAATAAGTTTTTGCCTGGGGCTACAATTAAGCTACGTCGGGCCCTGCTTATATTCAAATACCTTCAGATTTCATTTACTCACCTATATTTCTACTCTACTTTTTATGATACTTTAGCACGAAAAGAATGAAATAAAAAGTTCAAAATCATGGTTTTCAAGTGAATTAAAAAGTAGGAAATAATTTTATGTTTGTCATACCTAAAATACAGGACTTTTGGAAAACGTGTGGTGAATTTTGGCTAAACTTTTTAATTTGTAACAATAAAAGCAGATAGATAATGCTGGACATGGTCATAATGTCATTTGTCATGTCAAATGACACCTCATTTTTTAATATGACATTGAATGGAATTGAATTGCAAGGAATTGTCTATGGATAAATGAATTTTATAATTGTTTGTAAAAAAAATTTGATTCGTTCAAAATGTTCTCGAGATACGGTGAAATTACGTAAAAAGTAAGATTAACATCAAGAGATTCAAACTATTAGGACCATATNTAAAAAATCTAAAAAACAAATCAAAAAAACAAAAAAGCTCAGAACCAAAAAATTCAAAATCAAGTGAACTAAAAAGTAGGAAATAATTTTATATTTGTCAGACCTAAAACACAGGACTTTTGGAAAACGTGTGGCGAATGTTTGGAGTTTATTGCGCCTACTATTTTCGTTTTCGGTATGACAAAAATATAATTATTTTCTTCTTTTTCAAGATCTACTTCAAAAAATTAGTTTTTTTAGTTATTTTTTTTCTTTTGAGTATCTTTTACTCTGTTTAAGCTGGAAAGTTCTTGAAATGGTGATGTTCAAATACTTCAGATTTCATTTATTCACTTATATTTTGACTCTACTTTTTATGATACTTAAGCACAAAAATAATAAAAAATTCAAAACCAATAAAGAATTCAAAAAAATTAAAAATCAAGTGAACTAGCTGTCTTAACGTGATCAAAGGCAAACAGCCAACAGTGAGATATTTTTGTTTTAAGCGGAAATTGTGGGTAAGTGTAAGGATGTGACAGAGTGGTAAAAAGGGCCAATTGCGTTAGGCTATGCCCATAGCCCTACGGTGAATGAAGTTGCTAGATTTGTTAGTGTTTCGATGCGGACTGCTCAACGTGTGGTGTGCAGTGCTGTTATGCACATGCTCACGAAAGACGACGTCAGAACTGTGGTCGGAAAAATATCCTGCAAAATTAACCTGTGTGAGCAATGGCCTCTTACCAGGTATTGGACTCTAAATATTTATTGCATGCAGCTCCCGTCGCTATTTTCTCTTGCTAATAGGTTGGGATGCACTTTCATTCACTAACAGAAGCAATTCTAGTCGAGTTTGGAAGCGAATTTGATTGATAAATCACGAAACACGTCTCTGACCCCTCTTATAGAGTTGCGGATAGAGGGGAGATTCCGCTAACAGTTGCTCTTATTTTTCTCTCGTGTGATATAGCAATAACCATAAAATATCGAGAGATATTTTCAATAAATTTATATCTTAAACCTACATCTGTCTTGCAATAAAAAGTACTGGAGTTAGAACGTCAATTGAAAATGGAAGACAGAAATGAAAACGATGGATGCGTACTTTTACCTCATATACCTCTAAGATCAAGCGTAGCTGCCTAAATCTTAAGTAAATGCGAGAAATTATTTTTGTTCCTTTCAATGGATAAAAAGCTCTTTTGTACCTTTTATTTGCATGGCATCTATTATATTCATGAAATACGTAAGCTATGCATCTCTTATTTGCGTAAATGTTACAGTGTGTTAGTAACTTTATTATAACAGGCACTGATTTTAAGATGAACTGTTGAATACTTTCGTCTTTGGTAAAATAACACTTTGGAATAAATTTTTTGATGCATTTATACAAATATTTGAACTTGCCTGATTCGAGTGTTAGAATTTCAAATCTGAAATTAATTTTTCTCATTTTTTTAACTAGCATTTTTAACCTATATTTTAACGAAATATGCAAATATCAGAGCGTTATATACAACTGGACTGTCACGTGAATGTTACAAAAAATTTCTAGACGAGTTAGGGCATATCATAAGGATTAAAATTTACCTGTTTAGAAGCACACGATGAAACAGTTCGTTATAGGAGAAGCGCCCCTAGCGGAGTATGACGACATTAACCGGCATGCGTTCTAAGCATTTTTTACTCTAATAATGATCTCCAACTCCTCTAGAAGTTTGTCTCAACAATTATGCGATTCCCTTATATACATAAATAACATTTTTAAACTTGTACATTTCGACAAAAAATTGACTAAAAATCGTATTTAAAAAAATATTGTAGCTTAAAGAGAGAAATCGATTCCAGATTCTAAATCAGCGATACGACAGTATCTGAAATCTATTTAAAAAATCTGATGCAACAAAAACAAAAAATTGTTCTTTAGAGTAATTATTAGAATGTATATCAGAAGTTCCTCGTTAAATTTGAGTATTTATAAAAAGGGTATATATAAGATTAATCATATTGAACGAACTTGGCTATATTTCGAACCCGACAAGTTTAGAGTAAAAGTAATTGCATCAATGTTACCAACATTTATTTTTTAAATTGCATTTTTAAGCATAAATAGTTTGTCTCTTCCAATAGATTTTTATGATACAGATTCTTACAGATAATAAAAATTTAGTACAGGAACAATCTGTTAAAAGAAAAGAAATAAACTGAGACTAATAAAACGTCCAATGCGTCATAAATGGTAAATTGAGAAATTAATTTTTCTTTAAATTGATCTAAGGACATAAATCTGATTTACAAGCTATCAGTATATAAAAACAGTTCTTATTTGTAGGTTGTACTTTTAAGAGCAGCATTCGCTCCAAAGGGGTTAGTCTTTCTCCTCAATTTGATTGTTAAGAAATGAGTTCTAGAGTTGATTAAAATAAGTACTGTGTTTAAATTTTGACAATGATGACTGTAATAATGGGTTTGAATTGTATTTCTTATAAATTGAAATCATGATATTGGGCAACAAAAAATAAAATCGAGAATAAACTCAAAAGCTATCAAATTTAGCGTTTTCTTCCCAAGAATTATTTTCTCTATTAAGGGGTCACTGTACCCTTACAACATTTTTTTTTTTAAATTAAGGTATAATCATTCATTTTGTGAATGCTTTACATGCTCATTTTACTTAGAATCAATAATTTATCTTCAGAAAATAGTTAAACTGTTTATTTTTTTTAATTTAAAAAATAAATTTTAAAAACTCAAAATTTTTAAATCTTTAAAGCTTTTTTGTTTTAACATATTTTCAACAAAAAAAATCGCAGTGCTTACAATATTCATTTTACTAATTTTGTGCATTTATTTGTTGATATATCAATTAGAGCATTTGTAGTAGATTATTTTGTAAAAAAGTAGAAAAAAGAGGTTAAAAATTCCTGTTTGGTATATATAACATGCTGTAAAAATTGTAATACCTCATTAAATACTTATTCCCTGCATAGTTTAAATAAGTGTATTATACTTAAGATAAAAAAAAGTTTACCTCAAAACTCTATCTTAAGTAGAAAAAATTTAAAACTTAGGGATTTAATTAAAAGACTTTAGAAATTTTAGGGATTTAATTAAGATTAAAACACAAAATCATCATCTATGAGAAAAAGCACTTTAAAACACTTTTACTGTATTTATTTAAAAGCACTTTTACTATGACCCCTTAAAGGAAACTTAATTTACCTTTATAAAAATATAGTTGTTTTATATTAGTTTATTTATACTTTTATTTGGTATAAGCTGAATAACTATGGAGTAGAAAAAAGAAAATTATTAATATGTCAGTACTGAAAAATCATGCACCAAACTGAAAATTATGTAGTGATATAATCAAATCTGAAAAATTCCTTTCTTATAATTTATTACCCTTCAGGAGGCTTTGCGTTTTGAGAATAAGCAAAGCACATTTTTAGAAATTCATCAAGAATAAAGCTTGATTATGTTCAGTATCATAATGCTGATGCTCGAAACCAACTCATGATAATTAAAACTTATCAGAATCAAGTAATTTTCTTTTATACTTTTCCATTTAGATGGGCGTAAACACTTATTTTCTCCGTTTTTATATTAAAACTGTACAGTATTGATGCAGTTTCAATAAGTACCAAATATACTAATGCAATTCTTTGTACTACCTGAATTAGTGCATTTGTTACACATTAAAACTGCACCAATTACCATAATATCAGTATTTAGTTATGCCTATTATCAAAACTAATTAACCCCTTGAAGTACAATTATTTCGAATTGCATTATCTCGGGTCTTTTAAATTAAGAAGTTAAGCATCATTGGATATGTTACCGGCAAAGTATGAAACGCTGGCATTATATATAATGCGTGACGTTTTTAGGCAAAGTATGAAACATGAGAAGTATTACATGATTTCCCTAGGCATTGTATATAATGCCTAGGCATTCTATATTATGCCGGATGCTATTTAGGCAAAGTATGAAATAAACGTCCTGATGAGGTTATAATGTAAATGATGAGCATATTACTGTGAATGACCGAAATCGATGGTTGTTGACTTTCACTGGTAAATGTTGACAATCACATAGTCGCTTTGGTGAATGTCCGAAATATTTATTACATCCGATTTGATATTAATTTATTCGTGGATATAATTACATTTATTCAATATTTTAATGCTTACTAACGATAGATTAGAAGAAACATCAGTGTATGGAGTATCGGGCAAATGTATACCAGGCAGTGGCACTTGACCTTAAAAAAACATCAGTGTTTGTTATAGCGGGGAAATGCATACCGGGCAGTGGCACTTGACCTTAAAAAAACATTAGTGTAGGATATACCAGACAAATATATACCGGGCAGTGGCACTTGACCTTAAAAAAACATCAGTGTAGGGTATACAGGGCAAATGTATGCCGGGCAGTGGCACTTAACCTTAAAAAACATCAGTGTAGGGTATACCGGGCAGTGGCACTTGACCTTAAAAAAACATCAGTGTAGGGTATACAGGGCAAATGTATGCCGGGCAGTGGCACTTAACCTTAAAAAACATCAGTGTAGGGTATACCGGGCAGTGGCACTTGACCTTAAAAAAACATCAGTGTAGGGTATACAGGGCAAATGTATGCCGGGCAGTGGCACTTAACCTTAAAAAACATCAGTGTAGGGTATACCGGGCAGTGGCACTTGACCTTAAAAAAACATCAGTGTAGGGTATACAGGGCAAATGTATGCCGGGCAGTGGCACTTNGAGGTTTTCCTCTCCATGCAACGCAAATGCGGATTAGTTCCATCGAAAAGTCCTCCATGGAAGCAAATTTCTCTTAATACTTGTTCCAGGAGTTCCCTTGTCTTCTAGATTGAGTTCAAAATTACAAGAATACGTAGTTGAACATGAGTAGCCGTAAATGGGTCGGTTCGGGAGGCTGTTCAACGACGGTTATAAAATAAAATATATGATACAGGGGGTCGCGTAAATGTGCGAAAAGTTTCTAGGAGAGTCAAGGTGCATCATCAGGATTAAAATTGCGTAGGAACCCATCCCAGAAATATCGTCATACGTCGCAAGGGTGTTTTTCTGTTATCAACCAGCTCTTTTACTGCTTCTGAACAGGTCATAACAGGAAAGTGGCCTTCACCGCGTATGACGACGCTTCTCGGCGTGAGTTCCTAATGCAATTATAATCCTGGTAATGTCCTCTAACTCCCCTGGAAGTTTATCGTAACATTTGCGTGATTCCCTATATATATATATATATAACGTTTTTAAACTTGCACATTTCGGCAAAAAATTGACTAAAAATCATATTTAAAAATATACTGTAGCTTAAAGAGAGAAACCGATTGCAGATTCTAAATCAGCTGTACGAAAGTATCTGAAATCTATTTGAAAAATCTGATGCAACAGAAAACAAAAAAATTGTTCTTTAGAGAAATTATTAGAATGTATATCAGAAATTCCTAGTTAAATCTGAGTATTTATAAACAGGGTTTATATAGGATCAATCATAATGAACGAGCTTGACTATATTTCGAACCTGACAGGTTTACAGTAAAAGTAATTACATCAATGTTACCAACATTTATTTTTTATATTGCATTTTTAAGCATAAATAGTTTGTCTCTTCCAACAGAATTTTATGATACAGATTCTTACAGCTAATAAAAATTTAGTATATAAACAATCTATTTTAAAAGAAAAGAAATAAACTGAGACTAATAAAACATCCAATGCGTCATAAATGGTAAATTGAGAAATTAATTTTCCTATAAATTGATCTAAGGACATAAATCAGATTTACAAGCTATCAGTATATAATAAACAGTTCTTATTTGTAGGTTGTACTTTTAAGAGCAGCATTCTCTCCAAAAGGGTAAGTTTTTCCACTTTGATTGTCGAGAAATGAATTCTAGAGCTGTTTAAAATAAGTACTGCACTTAAATTTTGACAATGATGACTATAATAATGTCTTTGAATTGAATTTCTTATAAACTGAAATCATGATATTGGGCAACAAAAAATATAATCGAGAATAAACTCAAAAGCAATCAAATTTAGCGTTTTCTTCCCAAGAATTATATTCTCTATTATGGGGTCACAGAACTCTTACAACATTTTTTTTTTAAATTAAGGTATAATCATTCATTTTGTGGATGCTTTACACGCTCATTTAACTTAGAATCAATAATTTATCTTCAAAAAATAGTTTAACTGTTTAATTTTTTTTAAATTTTAAAAAAAATTAAAAAAATTCGAAATTTTTAAATTTTTAAGACTTTTTTATTTTAACATATTTTCAAAACAAAATTTTTTCTTAGTGCTTACAATATTCATCTTAACAATTTTGTGCATTCATTTTTTGATATATCAATTAGAACATTTTTTATTGATTATTTAGTAAAAAAGTAGAAAAAAAGGTTAAAACTCCCTGCTAGGTATATATAACATGCTGTAAAAGTTTTAATACCTCATTAAATACTTATTCCATAAACAGTTTAAATAAGTGTATTATTCTTAAGATAAAAATGTTTACTTCAAAGCTTTATTTTAAATAGAAAAAATTTCCGTAGGGATCTAATTAAGATTAAAAAACAAAATTATCATCTATGAGAAAAATCACTTTAAAGCACTTCTACTGTATTTATTTAAAATCACTTTTGCTATGACCCCTTAAAGGAAACTAAATTTACCTTTATAAAAATACAGTTGTTTTATACTAGTTTATTTATACTTTTATTTGATACAAGCTGAATAACTATGGGGTGGAAAAGAAAGAAAATAATTAATATATAAATACTGAACCAAATCGTGCACAGATGATAATCAAAACTTATCAGAATCAAGTAATTTTCTCTTATACTTTTAGAGGGGCGTAAACGCTTATTTCCTCCGTTTTTATATTATAACTGTACAGTATTGATGCAGTTTTAATAGGTACCAAATATACTAATGCAATTCTTTGTACCTGTATTAGTGTATTTGTCACACATTAAAACTGCACCAATTACCATAATATCAGCATTTAGTAATGCATATTATCAAAACTAATTAACCCCTTAAAGTACACTTATTTCGAATTGCATTATTTCGGTCCTTTTAAATTAAGAAGTTAAGCATCATTGGCGACAATAATAGCTTTTGGTAGCAATATAAATCATTGGCAACAATAATTTTTTTTTAAGTTTCTCCTAAATGAATTAGTACCAATTCTCCGTTAATTTTGATTTTATATACTTAGTTTAATTTTTTTATTTCAATTAGAATCTATTTCCAAAATTAATTTAACATCATTGGTGCCAAAAATGGTATGACAATTTTCTACTTTCCTTGTAAACGAATTAATACAATTACTGCTCAGTACATATTTTTTTTTATATTTCAATAAGTACTGATTGCCAAAATTAACTAAGCATGATTGGCGTCAAAAATAATACGTCAAGTTTTTACTTTTTTTTCTATGAGAAACTAATTAGTAACATTTCTCATTTAATTCTGATTTTTAGTACCTAGCTTTTTTTCTTGTTCCATTTAGTAAATATTATTTAAATTAATTAAACAACATAGGCATCAATAATGGTATGTCAATTTTTTACCTTTCTCCTAAACGAATCAACATTATTTCTGCATTTATTTCATTTATCAATAAATAACTCTTTTTCTATTTCAATTATAGTTTTATAGAAATCGATATTTAATATTTATGAAAAAAATAAACATATAGCTTTAGATTACTCACAAAAGGCTAATTTGGTGACGTAGTCCATTTATGCTTCCACGTTCACGTTGATCATTAATTTTATCTGATATCACAAATAAAAAATAATTACATATTAAATAACGAGTAATAAACTCCTTTTTCCATCAATAATAGCCGTAAGAAAGCAATCACTGATCACTTTAAATAATTTAAAAATTACTCTTCTGCAGTTTAATTTATATCAATGGCGCTAACTCTAGACCAATGAGAAAATTCCATTTTTCCACGTCTCTCTCGAATGATCGAATGGAAATTTTTGATTGATTATTAGGATTGAAGGCAAAATTGCTCCCTTCATTCGCTGTCCTAATTTCAGGGGGCTGGCACTAATGGTTCTGGATTTATAAGAACGATACACTGACAAACTCTTCATTTTATTATTATAGATTACACTAAATTTAAGCTTAATCATGATTCTTTAATAGGTATCATGCATATTATCATCATTCTAATTCCTTTTATATGGCATCCATTATAAAAGGAATATAATGCATTTTTTATACAATAATGTATTGTTTCACTGATTCCTCAATGTAATCCATATGATTAAACTAAACTCAGTAGCGCGACAGCACATAGAGGGCCAAGGCCTACTGTGCCCATCTCAGTTTTCTTGACCTTGGGCTCTAGGGTGCAGGAGCAAGCGTTCCGGTTAGGTAGTCAACCGAACGCGAAACCCCCAGTTCCCAAGCATGCTTGGTACTCATTTATCGACCCACTGAAGGGATGAAAGGCTGAGTCAACCTTGCCCTGCCCGAGGATAGAACCCAGGACCTAGTGGAGCTCGAAGCGCTACCACTCAGTCACCAGGCATCAATCCATATGATTAGATTGTTTTATACACCATTACTAAGATGGTCAGCCACTGCTCGCTAATGTCCCTAACTTTCTCAACAGCTATTGTAGTTCCATCTAGGATGGCTACAAAATTTCATTTTATACTGCTGGGACATTGGACACTTATGTACTTTAATCTAGCTTTGAATTCATGCTTATATTCTTTTTTTGAAACGAAGTTCTAAGAATATGCAATCTATACATTCTGAGAATCCTTTGATTTATAAACATGTCTTTATATTTATGTACAATACAAATTTATGCATGCAAAATTATAAATTCCAGTGCATCTTTAATCTCACATAAACTCAAAATAGATTTATTCTTAGTTGAACTCATAAATTAAACCTTAATAAAACCAAAGAAAAGGAAAGAGAAAAAAAAGCATAGGTGTCGGATTTTCTTAAATCTCTCTCTCCCAAAAAATTATGAATCATTATTAAAACTGAAATACAGTTATAAACTATTATTGAATCCGCTTGAATTAATAAGTATAATTAAAACGAAGATCCGATTTTACTGATAATTGCTTTGATTTCTTATTCCTGCCCAAATTAAAACTTTGTCTACTTCAACTTCTCGTTGCCCAAAAATTTTCGTTCAGAAATTTGTAAACATGTCAATCGATAGAGGCCGTAATACTTAAGACTGCTCACTCGCTTGTCTCTTCAATATTTAGTTCATTGTTGCCAACGACAAAAAGAAATATTATCGGTCTTTTTGACAACTTGCTCATTAGTCTTTTATATAATATAGATTTTCCTGTTTTCCATGTATGCATTTTTATCATTATTTCATTATTACCCTTAACCTAAAATACGAATTTGTATATGTATTTACAGTTACAAAAGCAATGATCTCCAATGGTTCTACCTTCTTCTGCGGAATTTATGCTCTCTTGCTTATACTTAATAATGTCCTTGGAGATCCCATAAAGTCTTCAAGTGCACAAGACGAAGAAATTCAGAATAAATTGGCAACGGCGAACAATGATTTGACTTTTAAACTTTACAGCAGGTTAGCCAAAGAAGAACCTGGTAATGTGTTTTTCTCACCCCTCAGCTTATCTGATGCTTTAGGAATGCTTTTTATCGGTACTGGAGGAAGCACGCAGCAAGTAAGTATTTGATTGTTCGGTGTTATTGTATGGGTATGTTTATAAATAATTACTAAAATGTTTATCCATCTGTTTCGATCGCTGAATAGTATCACATTTTGAGTAACGAAAAGCATATTGAGTGTTTTTTGACGCTGAATGGTAGTATATCAAGCAATTACCATTTATTATTCTTTTATATAATATAGAATAGTATCTTTTGAGACAATCGTATATTTTGCTATTAATATATGTATATTATGAAACCTCAAAACGTTTACTGGCATACGGTTTAGAAAATGAAAGATTTCTAATATCTAACACACTTTTTTAAAACCATAATTAAAACATAATGATAGTGATGAATTTAATAATTATTATTATTATATTTAATGTATGTACGGTTGGAATAAATCATTAGGGATCGGTCAAACTTTCAAGACTCAAAACCATTGCAACGTTACTTCAAAATATAAAAATTTTATCAAAATCAACGAACGGGGCTCTAATATGTGATAGTACTAAGTGCCAAAATAGTGCATATTAAATCTGTTGTGGCTGAAAGTCCTCTCGTTGGTTGTGGTGTGGAAGTTTGTAGATAGTTCAGGAGCTGGTAGGGTAGTTCAGGAGCTGTCGACGTCGTCTGACCAGGTTGAAAATTACCTGGCATTCCTACCCTGATAGTTGAAAACAAGAGACCTGAAAATTGGGTCCAATTGCTAGGTCATGGTTAGGTGAAGATGATGTAACATTGTATTAATTAAGCGATAATACATTCAATTTTAAGAATTTTCCTGTTTAATTAATTTAGAGAACATTTCTATAAATTTACAAATTATAAAAATGACTAATAACTCTACTCTGCATTTAAAGACATATTACATGTTTCATATACTTCAATTTCAGGAGCTAAGAACTGCTTTAGGATACAATACAGCTAACCTTCCAACTGATCAAGTAGACAGAGCATTCAGTTCCTATTTGAATAAAGTGTTATCTTCAAATAAAAATTATACTCTAGATCTTGCTAATAAATTGCTCTTAAAAAACAGTGTGCAAACAAAATCCACTTACGTTCAACGAGTTCAGGATTGCTTTAAAGCCGACGTTGAAAAAGTCGATTTTGCGAAAAACCCGAAACAAATTTTGAATGAAGTCAACGGCTGGGTCAAAGAGAAGACACATGGAAAAATCGACAGTATTTTAAATTCTGTGGATCCTTCAAGTGTCATGCTTCTTTTGAATGCCATTTATTTCAAAGGAGCATGGACAGCAAAATTTGAAAAGAAATACACTAAACCTCGGAAATTTTATGAAAATGGCTTGGATTCTGAACCAAAGTAAGAATACCTAAAAATTCATTATTTCGCTTTTTTTTAAACTTCTTAAGCTTTGCTAGTCAGTAACCGTAAAGCGAACCATGGGAGATGTTTATTTTGACACTCGGTGAAGTTTGAAAAGAAATTCGCTAAACCTCGAAAATTTTATGAAAATTGCTTGGATTCTGAACCGGATACTTTAAAATGCATTTGGTTTCGGTTTTTTTTTTCACTTCTTATCTTTGCCAGTCGATAGCCGTAAAATAAATCACCGGAGATGTTTATTTTGACACTCGGTGAAGTTTGAAGAGAAATTCGCCGCTAAACCTCGGATATTTTATGAAAATTGCTTCAATTCTGAACCGAATACTTTAAAATGCATTTGGTTTCGGTTTTTTTTTCACTTCTTATCTTTGCCAGTCGATAGCCGTAAAATAAACCACCGGAGATGTTTATTTTGACACTCGGTGAGGTTTGAAAAGAAATTCGCTAAACCTCGGAAATTTTATGAAAATTGCTAGGATTCTGAACCGGATACTTTAAAATGCATTTGGTTTCGGGTTTTTTTTCACTTCTAATCTTTGCCAGTCGATAGCCGTAAAATAAACCACCGGAGATGTTTATTTTGACACTCGGTGAAGTTTGAAAAGAAATTCGCTAAACCTCGGAAATTTTATGAAAATTGCTTGGATTCTGAACCGGATACTTTAAAATGCATTTGGTTTTGGTTTTTTTTCACTTCTTATCTTTGCCAGTCGATAGCCGTAAAATAAACAACTGGAGATGTTTATTTTGACACTCGGTGAGGTTTGAAAAGAAATTCGCTAAACCTCGGAAATTTTATGAAAATGTCTTAGATTCTGAACCGAAATAATCATAATTTAAAATGCATTTTATTTCGTGCTTTTTTCCTTCACTTTTCAGCTTTTCTGGCCGTAAAATAAACCATTGGAGATGTTTATTTTGACACAATACGCACTCAAATTTCAAATTCAAAGACCTACTTTGTTCAAATTAATAGACCTACTTCATATGTCGTAAAATAAATTGTAAAATTATTTTTTAAAAAAACTATTCCAAACGCTTTTGCTTTATTTTGAAAGGCTGAGAAATCTTAATAAATTTAAAGGCACTCCGTCAGATTTTAAAATCATGAGACTTCAAAAAAACATTTTTTTCTACAATTGCATTTATTAAAATGTGTATGAGTTGAAATTAATTGATAAATAATTAATACTTCCTCTGACATAGCAAAAATTACTTTTGATTAGACTTACTTGATTCATTAATATTAAATGCTGAAAAATCAATTATAAAAACAACTGTTCAAAACATTTTTGTGTTTGAACTCAAAATTTAGAGGCAATCTGTTAGATTTTAAAACCGTAAAAGCCATCAAAAAATATTTTTTCATAATTGCATTTATTAAAATATGTGTGAGTTCAAATTAATTAATAAATAATTTGGACTTCCTCTTAACATAGCAAAAGTTACTTTCGATTAGACCGACTTTAATTACTATTATCAAATGTTGAAATATCTACTGATAAATAATTTTTAAAAAAACTGTCCAAAGCGTTTCTGTTTTATTTTGTAAAAGTTGAAAAATCCTCGAATTTTAGAGGCACTTTAGAGAATTTTAGGGAGCACGTTTAGAGAACAAAATTTTGAAACCATGAGTGACTTCTAAAAAAGTTTCAATTCCATAGTTGTATTTATTAAAACATGTATATGTTTAAATTAATCAATGAATAATTTAATACTTCCTCTTGACATAGCAAAAATTACTTTCAATTTGAGCTTAAAAATAGAAGATGGCTACATTATAAATTGAATGTTAGATACTTACTGCGTCCGATAAAATTTAAAGGAAATAAATATTTGAAGATACTTTCGATAAAACTAACGGAGATATGACTGTACGGTCTCATGTGATTCACTAAAGAAACCAAAGATTTTATACTCACTAAGTATAAAATTAATTGTAAAGTTCGACAGAATATGGCGCTGCTGACTCTTAAAATTATAAAACAATGCTTTCTGCTGCGTCGTTGTGTGTCAGATCATTCTTATAGAAATATTAGCACGGGTCCTCAGTCATCATCACGTTTTTCCTTCGAAAATGGTTTTTTTAAAGCATTGTTTTATAGTTTTTCAATCCAGCAATGCCATCAAATAATGAGCTTTATAATTAATTTTGACGCTTCTTTAGAAAAATATTCTTATTTCATAAACAGAAAGCAGAAAACAGTTCATTTTTAGTTTCATTTGTTTTCATTTATATTTCAAATTGTCTCTCCTTTTTAAGACACTCAATAGATAGTTTTAACATTTAAGTGAGATGCACTGATGCAAGAGATGTGAAAAAAATAACTTTAATTCACCATTAACCCTCTGAATTGTTACAGTTACAACCACAAAAAGAAAAATTTCAAAGTGAAAAATAACAATAAAAAGAACGATTGAAAAAAAAGTGTCTATAATCGTATAAATGGATAAGAAAAATAATATGAAAATTCATAAAATAGTTAATTAATAATACTCCAATGCACATTGCAAATTAATTAACCATCTGATAGATATATTTGCGTAATTTTGAAGTTTAAGTTAGATAGTTTATGGAAAAGATGCAAACTAGCAGCTTTTTAAACAGTAACAGTTATAATCTTAAAAATAACATTTTTTAAATATAAAGTTTGAAAAACGATTGAAAAAAAGACGTTTGCAATCGTATCAATGAGTAAGAAAACTAATATAAAAATTAATAAAATACAATTCAGTAAATAAAGTTATTACATGAAATTAAAACATCTCGGGTGAGAATTTTTCTTATCTTTTTAGTATTTACCAATATTTCTGTCTTCTTTTAATGACATAATAAAGCAGTGTAAAGACATAAACGCTTTTGCGAAGTACTGAGGCATTGCATTAGTATCAAAAATAATTTTATTTCCCTCGTTTTTATTAGGGATATTCCTTTTATGGATGGCGGTAGAGCAAGACGATATCCTTACGCTGAAGTTGAAGGAACGCAAGCTCTTGAGTTGCCTTATAAAGGAGAAGATATCTCAATGATCATTATTTTGCCAGGCAAGCGAGATGGTCTATCTGAATTAGAGAAAGAGCTAACTCTGGAGAAATTCAAAGAATTCCAAAATAAACTCAGAACTAGGTTCGTTTATGTCAAAATTCCTATATTCAAAATCAAATATTCTCACGAGATGGCTGGAGACATTGCAGCACTTGGTGCCCATCAACTCTTCAATGGAGCAGCAGACTTCTCAGGCATAACGACAGGCAATGGACTCGAGGTGAGTTCCATTTTGCATAAGGCAATAATCGAGGTTAATGAAGAGGGCAGTACGGCTGCTGCTGTAACTGCAATCCAAATAATTCCGGCATCTCCTGGTCCGGCGATTCATAATCCAGACTTTACTGCTGACCATCCATTTATATTTGCTATTGTGGATAAACGGAATGATATGGTGTTGTTTATGGGAAGAGTTAAAAAATTGTAATCGGTATTTCTATGAAATGAAAAATCTGTCTTTATTTTTCCAGAGAACTTAAATAATAAACATAATATGGAAACACATGAAGAGTTTTATTTTTGAACATACAGTTTTTAAATGCAGCCATAACTGAAACCAATAATTATAATTGAACAGCTTAGTGATAGAACATGTTAAGTTACATTTTACAAACACTCAATTTTCAGGACCTTAATGGTTAACTTCAGGTATAGAAAAATCATTTATTCTATTCTTAAGCTGTAGTAGTTATTTTTTTTTTCAAAATACATTTCAAAGCAGCTTTTTAATGTTTCTTTGTATTTAACATTTATGATTTTTACACAATCAAAAAATACTTACCACTTTCTTTTATTATTCTATAAGCTTCTCAATTAGTCTACAATATACATCAAAAACAGCATAAAAAATTAAAACAAATGGAATTTTCTTCTATTGGAATGACAGCCCTTTGTGGGCTGTAATGCCTGATTGCCTTATTTAAGTTAGTAAGAAAAAAAAACGCTACAGAAATATGCAAAACCACTATTAACATAAGTGGGGCTAAAAACCTATTCGATTGTATAATGAACAGAAAAAAGTTAAAAGGCGATTATTTAAAACACCTTTAGTAGCAGTATTCATTTATAGTTTCATTAGACAATCTATTTGGTTTTGATTTTAGTCTTTTTTCGCAAGTAATTCAGTGGTATTTTGGTGAACTTAATATTAATTTAATATTACACTTAAATACACTTAATATTAATATATAATGCACTTAAATATTAATTTTTAACCCTAATACACATACTAATTTTACTTCATATTTGAGGATGCAAATAAACATTTTAAATACAGAGGCAAAGAAAAGGGGGTTTATTATTAACCAAAATAAAAGTAAAATTTTTAAAAAATTAATCCTGAACAATTCAACGACATATCCTTAGAAAATAACAAACTAGAGGAGGTAGGAAGTTTCATGTTTCTTGGAAGTATAATTAACAACAAAGGAGGAACTGATGAAGATATACTAAACAGATTAAACAAAGCCCGAAGCAGTTAATCTTTCCTACTTTATGGATGTGAGACATGGCACTGCAGTAAAAATAACACGAAAGAAAAACTGCAAGTATTTATAAACAACAATTTAAAAAAAATCTTACGTATCAAATGGTGCTATAAAATTTCTAACTCAGAAATCCTCAGAAAAGCGAAACAGAAAACCATTGAACTGGAAAAGAAAAAGGGCAAATGCAAATGTATATTCCACTTAAACCTGGAAAATTGAAAGTGAAACAAGTTTTTTATTGGAACCCTCAGGACAATAGAAAAAGGGGAAGACCTAAAAATACTTGTGGCACAGGAAGATTTTAAGTGAACTAAAAACCGTAGGAAGGATGTGAAAGAGACAAAATATTTGGCTACAAAATATTACTAATAGCGAGAGGAAAGTTATGATAGAATCCCTATTTCCCGATTCGGAGTGAAGAGGAATCTGTGTATGTTTCAGGAGGATTCTAAATCTATATAGTAAGGGGGGAGATAACGAAGCACCCTGACCTTTACTAGTTTGAAATATTGTTGGAAAATGTGTATTTCAAGATAATTGATGCTTCAGAAAATCATTATAGATGATTCATAATAATCACATTAGTGTATAACATTTATCACATTTGTTTTAAAAAATTGTTAATTAGTGTATCACATTTGCTTAAAAAAAAGTGACTAAAAATATAATGGAACGATAGACATTTAATTTTCGTTCCTTCCCTGATCTGTTAAGGCGAGCTTTTCAAACAACAAATTAATAGTTAAAAAAGAGCATTTAACTAATAGTTTTTTCTTTTTTTTTTGTGAAAGAATAGTTTTTACAATGAGAAGCAGTGACAGTTACTAAGGCTTTATTTTACCCTTTGTGTATTGAATACTCCACTCATTTTTTATAACACTCATGCAAAGACAAGCTTTGAAGTTTATTCAAATAAAACACACTTAAGAATCAATATTTTTCTTGCGAATATAATAAGTTATCTTTGTATTTCTACAAAAATGTAAGTTTACTATTGATTCCAAATCAGTAACCAGGCAACTATGGAAACGAAAGTAAATAAGGAATTGCAAAGAAAAGTAATTTTTAGTGCTCCTTAAATTCTATGCGTAACATGTATTCTCCTTAACTAGAAATAACTACTCAAACTTTGAATAATGAAAATCGATATGCTTTCTATTTCCGGGTTCGCTTTCCTTAGATATATATATAGCGGGGCTGTTTTATCAACCAAGTAAAAGTAAGAAATCTGTAGTAAGTATACGTTCAAATTAATCCCTATTTTCTAAAACTTATTTCTTTATTTTTTTTTCATGTTTTTTTAAAACATATTATTTGTTGATTTTATTGAAAACCATTCGATTTGTTCAAGGCTCAATAATTAGAAATTTATCAGAATAATCCCCTTTTTTTAATAAAAGAAACATATTTTTATTCGATACTTTTGTAATAGTAAAATCTAATCACCTTTGGCATCCAGCTGGGCCACCTTTCCAAACTATCTTGTACAACATACAAACTTTAGTATGAAAGACAAGTACACAGCACAACTGTATAGTAATATTCTGGTTCTTTAACCTCTCTTCCAATCCAAACACCTTAATTAGTTTTAAACAATTAATTGGTTTTAGGATTAAATTATTAATTAACTTCATCCAGTTTAATTTCTTAATCAGTTTTAACCAAATTTTTTCACTCAGGTTTGTCAGCACTGAAGTACTTTTATTTTAATTTTAACTACTTTCAAAAGCTGCCTGTAACATTGCCAAAGTTCTTGATATATTGAATTTTAATAATAATTTAAAATCTGTCCGCAGCTATTAAATCAGACAAACCACCATACGTATAAATTCGGGACACTTCAGCACAGTAGGCAGCAGATATATTAAAATTATTTCCATCTCTGCTTTCAGATATAGAAAACTCACCCCAATTCTCTATTGCATGCTGTGCCACTTCCTCAAGCAGTACTGGATTGCATATGTTTGCTATTTTATAACCATTGTTAAACAGCAGACCCAATTTTTGGGTTTACAACTAATGTTAAACCTATAATTTTGAACCCAATCCAAAACACAATGGAACTCCTGGATCAAGTATTGGGAGAAATTGCCATCGTGGAAGACTTTTTGATATACTGATTATACTGAGAAGAAAACCACGTTAATCTCCCACGGTTAGCCTAACGGCAAGGGGACTCTAACCCATGATCTGTATACTACAGAGAATATTTGAAGTCAGCACTGTGGTTGGTGCGAGCAGGGTGCAGAATTATCGATCAGCTATTGCTGGGATTCGCACCCAGTTCACCTCATCGGAAGGTGAACTCTCTATCCCCTAAGCGACCACGGCTCATATGTAAGCTATTGCTGAAAAAAGCAAGCTCCATCACCTATAACTGGTATGACAGTATGCGGCACCACAACAACATTTATGTTTAACATTTCTACACTGATTTTAGAATGGATTAAAAATAAATCTAAATAACTACTTCGTAACTAAGTTTTTAATTCTAGGAAAATACAAAATTGTTCTTGAAACAAAATTGTTCAAATTGAAATTGAAAATAAGTACTTAGCGTTTAAATAACTATTAAACGCAACGTAATTTATTACATAAGACAATCTGAAAAAACGAATCTAAATAAATACCTAACGTAAAACTTATTTTTAACACTATTTGAATTAAAACCTAAGGCAACCTAACCAAATGAATAATAACTATAGTGTTGCCAATAGATAGAAAAATACCCGAATTTAAGCGCTGTGATATGCGATAAAATTAAGACTCCAAAATAAAACAGATTGTGTTATATTATCTACTTAAGAAAACCAATCAGCACTAGGAACCCTATCTGGAGCGAAAACTAAAGAGAGGAAATGCAGACTATCTCTAAGGGTTGTAGAATCTGAATTCCGAATGCTCGTAAATTTAGCATAAGTCTCAGAGCAGGTTAAAATCATTGACTTTAAAAGCAATGACTTACATAGCAATCACATTTTGTTTCTTTTTGACAAATACCATTTTCACCAATTAGAAATACAATGAGATGATGCTTTTCCAAAACTCAAATTACAAACTTCTTTTTTGCTCCATCAAAAATACGAGATATTTGTAAGTTGTTTGTCTTAGTCATGCAATTGTACGTCAAAGATAACAAACAAAAAAGCTCCAAATGAGATGGAGAAAAAGATAATTTCTCAGAGATGAAACCTCTATGCCTGTCACTTCAGTGGTAAGACGCGGAAGTGATGATCACGGTGACGCAAGAGAGGTGAGCGGCTATACTGCGCTTAACTCAAGAGTCTGACTCAATTAAAAAAGTATAAAATATCACTAGGATACCGTGGTTGTCTAAACTGTGTTAATCTTTAGAAGATACAGGGGTTGGACAAAATAATGGAAACACTTCTATACTAATGCATTTTTTTTATTCTTCTCAAAAAATACTTGAAGAATATTTTTACAAATTTAGAAGCACTTAAGTAATGCGATTTCTTATTTTCATCAATGAAGTTTAAAGGTTTAAGGGACCGACAGTTAATTGCAAACGTAAAATAATGTTTTTGAACACCCTATGCCAAAAAATATTGCAATAAATTTTTAACTTGTAACAATTAATTTGGTTATGATATGCGATAATTGCACAAAAATTTTTAAACTTAGCTTGAATATTTATAAAAAATTATATGACATATTTTCATAAAAAGAAATAATTTTCTTGGTCTTGCGTTTCTTGTTATAACTTTAAAATAATCAATGTAATTGAACAAAAATAACTACAAAATTATTGCCTTAAAATGTGAGAAAAAATTTTTTATAACTCCGCAAGATATGAGTAAGTGAAGTAGTCTCTTAATATTGCTCAGTAGCTCTTCAAATTTACATTTTTTTTAAATTTGTGGTGAATAGCATTTGACAACTAATAAAAAAATTTGACTTTCTTAAAAATTTAAA